AATATTCGGTATTTTTAATTTAACTGAAAAAAACACGAAAATTTCATGATATGGTGCAACGAAAAAATTCATATAAAAAAATTCAATCAATCATAAATAAACATACCAATTTTTATTTGATATATGCAACATTAATGATCGAAATCCACAACTCAATTTGATAAAAAACAACCAATAAATGGATAAAAAATCTGCATTTTGGGTAGAACACAAATTCAACTTTGATTTTTTGTTTTGTGAATAAATTAAAACTTGAATCTAGTAAATACTTCGAATAGCTATCAAAACCCTCAAATTTCTTCAAGAACCATTAGACATTGAGGAGATTATTAGAAGAATGGCGGAAATTTTCAAAAACCTAAAAAATCCGTCATTTCAATCCAAGAAACTTTTTTTTTTCAATGTTTAAATCTAAATTACTTGTTTTATATTCATTATATAGTGATTTAAACCATTAAAACACTCAAAAAACCAAAAAATAACCTCAAACCGAATAAAAAAGGTGAAATTTTGGATTCATAGTTTTCCTCTTACATATAACAGGCTCTGTGATAAATAACGACTGTTATATTGGTGTTACCGTTGTATCGTTATATCGGGCAATAAAAACGGTAAACCAAACCGATTAGGTAAACCGGCCAGTTTTTAGAAAAAACCATCGTTCGACATTTAACCAGTCGGTTTTGGTGCCGGTTTTTTTTGGAGAAGGCCATCTAATGAGATGTATCGCAAAACCAGCCCTAACCAGACTCGCCACCCCACCGGTAGTGATCTAACTGGCAGGTGTTGATTCTAACCGGTCGGTTTTACAAACACTGCTATATCCCTATTTACTCCTCTTCTTATTTCTTTTTTCCATTTTATTATTATTATTGTTATTATTATTTATTTTTAAATAGAAAAAATATCTCCATATCTCCTATTTTTAGATTTTATTTCTTAATAAACCCAAGGTTTCAAAAAATATCTTCCAACTTTAACCTAAACAAATATAAGAAAGACATGCTTTTTCTAAACCCAATCCCTTCTCTCTTCATTTATATATCCCAAACTTCTCTCTTTCTCTCTCGTGCTATGTATTTCACTCTCTCTCCTCCCTTGTTTATCCAAATCTCTCTCTCTGCTTCTATATTTATCCAAACACTTCTCTCTCTTGCCGTATTTATCCAAATACCTCTCTCTCCTCCCTGTAACATCTGACCACCAAGTATCTCTCTCCTCTTGTGCTTATCCAAACACCTCTCTCTCTCTTCTTGTATTCATCTCTCTCCTCTGATGTTTGTCCAAACACTTCTCTATCCTCCCATGTTTGTTCAAACACCTCTCTCTCTTCTTGTGTTTATCCAAACACATCTATGTGTTTATTCAAACACTTCTCTTTCTACTGTGTGTGTATTTGTGCAGCTCTTTGAGTATTCATATCCTACTATTTAAGAAATTTAACTAGTGAGATCATTTATTTTTTATACAAGAAGATCACACTTATTATTGACTATTAGATTTGGGTAGTTCAGGATATGTTATTATTGAAAAACATTTATATAAGGGTACGGCCCTAAACAATCAAATTAAGCCGCATAACAAAGATTCATTAGAAGAGGTTGTTTGGATGCTCAAAAATCCTCAAATCGATCATCTCGAAAACAAGGTGTATGTACATGAAAAGAAATGAATTTCAATAGATTTCAAGTCCTGAAAAGAATACATACTGTAATATATGTTCTGAACTATCAATTTTCAAATGGTTATAGACATGCTCAATCTGTACTATTTTTTAAGCTTTAAAGTTTATAATTAGATATGAAAATAAATTTTAAGGCCATCACAAAGATTTCCCGTGCTATTTGAACGTGCTCATTTTTTTAATTGTTTAAGGCCTCAACCCTCGTATAAATCACATCCATCATTATTTAGGGAAAAGTTAAATTAAATTTTTTCAAATTTATGACAGCGTTTTCATTTATTAGATTTCACATTCAATAACTAGAAATGGTTGTGAGCGACTTACTCCAATTATAACAGGTCTCCTATACAATCCCCTTTTTTAATGTAAAGCTTTTTGCCTTCATTATAGGAGATAGAATGTGTTATCTAGGCTGTTAGATCCTCTTGTTTGAATTGAAATTTCTCACCGTGTGGTACGATGGTGGTGGTGGTGCAATTTGGTGGTGACGATGGCGAGAGCGGTAGCAATGGTAGTGGTGAAGCAATGATTCAAGTAGTAATGGTAATGCAAAAATGGCAACGACAACGGAGCAATGGTAGTGGCGGTGGGGCAGGTATAGTGGTGCTATTGGCGGCAGGCCGGCAGCAGTATGAAAAGTGGGGTGGCAACCATGGGGTGGCGACCATGGAGTGGTGATGGTAGAGCGGTAGTAGCTGCAGCGGTGGTGGTGTGTAGCGGTGGTGTAATGCTCCGTGGTGGTGGACCGGTGGTAGTGTAGTAGTGGTGATAAACATTCAGAAAAAGAGAAAAATGGTGGTAGCAGTGGATGCTATGTGGTGGTGGTGGTGGCGGCGGTGGAGGAGCAAGCAACGAATAGTTCGGTGGTAGTGGCGATGGCAAGTGTGCCCAACAAGGCCTCAAAAAAGTTAAACAACAGTCAAAATTTAAATATAAAAAAAAAGCAAAAGTCAAACAAAACCAAAAACAAAATAAAATACCCAAATAAGCTAAAATTTTTATAAAATATGGATTTTAAAGAAATTGATTTGTAGTTGGAAACATTTCATCCAAAAAAAGGAGGAAAATATATAAATAGGGACAAAAAAAAAAACTCACCAATCGTTATCAAAAACATCCAAATGACATATAGAACACTTATACAATGATTTCACAATTTCTTTTTTTCTTTTTTTTTATCATTTTCTTACAATTTTATTTATTTTTATTATTTTCTTAATTTTTAAATGACCGGACTTTTACGTGGGTTGTCGGCTGATTGAAGAGATTCAGAGTAAACCCGCGAGTCCGAATGGACTTCGCTGAGTCCTTGAGCACTACTTTTTAGAGTTTTGAATACGAATTTCTTGTTTAAAAGATTTTAGTAATTTAAAAATCGGTGATCAGGAAAAGTAATTTACCATAAACGGTGATCCGAAAAGTAATTTACCATAAGCAGTGTTCAAATAAATACGATCGATTTGTATGCATAACATGAAATTCACTTCTCAAATCAAAAATGTCTTTTTATTTTTAAATATGGATTTTTATTAGTTAAAGTTAGTTACGTCAATTTAAAATATTGTGCGGTTTGTATATAGCCTAGACTCTAAACAATCAAATTAGAACCCACCTTCAAATAGTATTGAGAAAGGTTTCAATATTGAAAATCTTTGTAATATAATATATTTTTATATTTATTTAAAAAATTTAAAGCTTCAAAATTAGTATAGATTGACTGATCTAGGCTCTAAACAATCAAATTAGAACCCACCTTCAAATAATATCGAGAAAGGTTTCAATATTGAAAATCTTTGTAATATAATATATTTTTATATTTATTTATAAAATTTGAAGCTTCAAAATTAGTATAGATTGACTGATCTATAAAAACTAGAAATTACCAATTAAAAAATGGGTTATAAAATATACTATTTTCAAAACTTGAAATCCATTTTTTTCTCATGCCCATGCATCTTGATATCCAAATGATCAATTTGAACATATTTGAGAACCTCTTCTAGTGAAACTTTTGAAGGAGGTTCAAATTTGATTGTTTAGAGTCCCTACTCTATATAAACGTTTCCTTTTAAAATACGGTAAGAGGTCTGAAAAGTTATCCACATTTCCAATGGAGTTTGTGCACACACGATGTGGACTGTCGAAGTCTATGTCGCACAAGCTGTGGAGGAGAGAGAGAGAGAGCTCCTGATTCCTTTATTAGAAAGAAATTTGTCTCATGCAGGCTGGATTGCATTTCTATGGTCCAGAGATATAAAGCATCTATTGCATAGATGGCCCATTTAAAAACAAGTTTAATTACACGGGTCCAAATGTTATTTTAATATAATTATTGCTTCTAGTTTTTTTGTTCTTTTTTTTATTTTTTTTCATATTCATGATCTCCATATTAAAGATTATATATTATCTAAAAATTATGATTAAATTATATTTAAAAATATATTTATAGCCAAGCGTGCATTTCTACAATATGAGGACTGGCGGCATAGAAACCGTGTCCAAAATGCAGCAGTTGGGAGAATAAAAAAGAAAGCATATGAACCAGGATATCATATGTAAAAGTTCAAATAACAAAAATAAGAATAAAAATAAAAACAAAGAGCAACCTCATTACAGATTTTAAGAAATTGCTCCAATCTAAAAGACGAATCCAAAACCAAGTATATATTATTTTAGGGGGTAGTTTGTATAAGGCTGAGGCCCCGAAAATCAAAGTAAGGTGCACTTTTAAATTTTAATTAGTGTTAAAAGATGTTTCATTACTGGAAATCTTTGTGATGGCTTGGAAGTTTATTTTCATCTCTAATTATAAAATTTAAAGCTTCAAAAATATTGTAGATCAAACATGTCTATAAACAACAGAAAATATTGTGATGGCTTGGAAGTTTATTTTTATCTCTAATTATAAAATTTAAAGCTTCAAAAATATTGTAGATCAAGCAAGTCTATAAACAAATTAAAATCTTGAAAATTGATGCTCCAGAAAATGCATTACAAGATTCACCATTTCAAAAACTTGAAATCCAATTTTCCTTATGACCATATATATTAAGGTTGAGATGATCAATTTGAGGATTTTTGGGCTTCAAAACGACCTCTTCTTGTGAATTTTTGAGGTACGCCTTAATTTGATTGTTTAGGACCTCACCCTTATTGAAACTTCTTCCATTATGTAATGTAGCCTTAAGACAAAGAAAAATGAACAAATTAAAGTTATTGTAACCAAAAGTGTTTTTAGTTCTTCGATAACAAGAAGATACCTTTGCATCATAATGCAAGAATGTCATTAACCAACTCCAAAAAAGAAAATGAAGACTATATGTCAATTTGCAATTTTAATTATATAATCAACCATTTGCAGGCACACCCAAAGCCAAATAAGAGAATTCTTATTTTCCTGACTCATTGTTTGCGCGAGAAAACTAAATTTATATGTTCATCTTACAAACAAAAGGATATATGTTTCTTGGGTAGAAAAAAGTTGATTCTTTCAGTAGGGTTAGCTGGTTAGGCTTGATGATTCCCTAATATATACCCAAAGAAGGGTATAGATTCTTCACCATTCATTTTGCCCAAAGATTAGAAAAATCAAAGAAAGATGGAATTGAGGTCAGACGTTCCAACTAGTTGCTGCACAAAATCAGGAAAGTGATGCTGTACAGTATAATATGTTTCTCAATTATCAAGCTGAGACCTTCACGTAAAAAATCCACCTAATAACAAAAAACATATATCAGCATTCAGGTTAAAGAAAGATATTTTGAGATGTACCAATGTTTGATATTATAATGGGTTTTGGTAAATAAATAGTTAAATACCATCCAATAAATGAATAATAATGAGATATACTTCAAGTATCATGTTTGAATATGCTGACAAAGCTGTAAAGAATTTGCAAGGTCTTGAGTTCTCTCAAAAGACAAGCACTCTTGAAATCAATATAATGCAGCTGACAATAGAACAAAATCACGTGATGCACTTAAGCAAGAAATTTAATAGAAACCAATTCATTAAGTGTTGAATGGTTGTGCACTCTATTCTGCAGTTCTCTGCTCCACCCATAAGCTATTCAGTCAAGCTTAATGGTTACCTAATATGACTTTTTAAAATTCCAAAGGCCTAAGACTAGGATTAAATTTGTCAGCATATTTACAAATTCCAGTCATATAGTCAGGATAAGGCTCCGGCTGAATATATTTGTATGTACTCTATCAAAGGTATATTTTAAGGAGGGAAAATTGTCTAATACAGCAACTATGGATATCCAAAAGAGATATACGGTGGTTTAGAGAAGGTGTCTACAGCTATATAGCTGTAGATATATTACGCAGATCACAGGCTACCTAACAAGGGAAGTATGGCCCCCTCAATATTGGCCAATATCCTGATCCACTAAGCTCCATTTTGTCTTTCATTTGATTCGCAGACAAACTCAAAAAACACCAAACGGACTTCTTATGGGGCAGCGGTCATTTGTCAGAGATTTCATCTAGACAGTGGAAATTGTTGTAATCTCAAGGATAAAAGAGTTTCATTCAAGAAAAATAATTCACTAATGAAGCTCTTTCGGTTATATGATATGACTTTTAAGCTATTGAGGACCTTTGGTGAAAACTCCTTTAGGCTAGGTACCCATGCAAGGCATGTCAATTTGGATGGCAAATGGAAAATGATTTTAAATCTTAGAAAGATCTTAGTCACAGGTACAAAGGATAGAGAGGTGTGGGAGTTGGAATGTGTTCCTAATCAAGTCTGTTCATAGGGATCAAAGCTCTTTTTTCTTTTGTTCTTGGAATAAACTTTGACGTCATGGGGAGCAGAGCTATTACGGCGACAAAACAGACTTCCATATTTGATGAATGTGGGGGAATATAAGCTCCAAGGGTTGTGGCATTTTATTGGATAATTGGATGTGCTATGAAAAAAACAGACCATTTTGGTGATCCAAAGCATAGAGGACTTTCAATGGCTAATGAGGAGGAAACAGTGGAATCATCTTTCTATCAATTATAGTTATAGGCCAGATAATTAAAAGGGATGCTGCTTGCTTTCTACCTTGTTTGTAGGATTGAGTACAATTAAGATGTGATCTAAGAGGGGAGATCCTTGGTGGGTTGGCTGCCATTTTGAGGAAATGGAAATAGAGGAATAGTAGGATCCCCCTTAAAAAAACTCTTCAGCTATGCAAACTTGCTTGAAGTTATCCAGAGGAGAGCTCCACTTGTGCAGAAGCAAATGATCAGTTGTAGATAATATTTAGGCAGCACGATTCACCAATTTCTGTGTACTTGAAGCCAATTCTTGAATATATATGATGGTAGAGAGTTGATTTTAGGTTCTTCCATAAAAGAAAGCCGATTTTGTGGTCATGGAGATTAGAAGGGGTAATTGGCCCATTTTTTTAATTGGTGGGGATTTTTGGGGAAATTATAGATTTATGTTCTTCCAATTGTATCTTGGAGTTTATTCCTGTTCTTGATGAAACAAAATCTCTATATAGGCCAACAGATATGTTGGATTGGTTTACCTCCTAGTGGCTTTCAGTTCATGATGGAATTTAGATTCATCTTGTGGCTGTCAATAAAAATTTATTCAACCTATGGTTTATTATTCATAAAGAGAAAAGAAAATTAAGAAACAAACATGATAGACATCACCACTCTTTGCAGGTCACAAAAAGAACAATTGCCAGTGGTTTCCAGAGCCATCACATCATTCCAGCAACCTTTCATAGGACCACTAACAACAATGTCCAAGAAATGTAATTTTTACACAACCATCATGCAATAAGTTCACCCAATATATATTTCATTTACTAAAGCACACTTCTCTTTGAAGTTCAGATGACATCTGGAAAACTAGTTCTGAAGTACCTATTCCACATACCAGTAGGAAGAACAATAAGAAATGCAGATCATACTCTCTTCCTGTGGTCTCATAAACATGGTTTTATTCAGTACAATACTTTAATGATCCCCTGACATGCAAATTTTGGACTTTTTGATATCAGTTTGGAGAACAAATCAAGATATTCTACTCTAAAAGTGTTATCAGATACAGTATACAAATTCATGAGATTGGGACTTGGGAGTCCGATGTGCAATGTGGCCATCAATGCAGCCACCAGGCAAGAGCAAAAGTTCCTTTGTGGGTGATAATTATAAAGAATTCATAAACAAAATATAAAGAATATCACAATTGTGAGATTTATAAAATGGCAAACATTTAATTTAGTATGTGTCTCTCTCAGTCGCTCGCTGGTGGAGTAACAAAATATTTACTGCTTAGTGCTTCCTTACCTTGTTTTAATTAGCATGTAAGATAAAATGATCTAATCCATTCATCAAATTGAAACACAAATGACGCCATGCAACTAAGCAAGCAAGCAAGTATAATATGAATACTAATAGCAGAAACTGGAAAGTGTTTTTAAGTATTCTCCATGAAATGCTTTCACCAAAGTTCATACACCACATTACCACAAAGGCATAAGTGTAACACGTGGCACATGGACAAATACTTACTTGGCCCTAGCGCAATCTCTATTTCTTGGTTCGATACAAAACCTCAATGAGTTGATATTGAACACCCAAAATCCTTCCAATGATGATAAGCCTTGGCAAAATTTTATATTGGCTGCCTACCTAAAAAACCCAGGCTCTTTACCCACGCATGGGATGGGTTAAGGGAAAGTTTAAGGTCATCACCCTTCTTAGACCCAAAATCCTTCCAATGTGAACACAAAATCATCTTGGATCCTGCTTAAAAAATCCTCCAGGTTTTGGTAGCATAATCAAAATGAATAGAAAAAAAGAAAAAAAGAAAATTCATTTGCCAAATAGTTGAAGGTTAATTCCTTGGATCCAAAAAGGAAATTGATCCTGAGTTTTTTTTTTTTTTTAGAGGAGGTAGGGAATGACAAGAATAGCCTGCTTATGGGCAACACGCAATGATGCAGCCACATAGGATCCTGCACATGCAGGTGCCTATGCGTCCCTAGGTTGGTGCATGAGGTAAAACCCCTCCTAGTTGGGCCAAAGCGATGCAGCCCTCTTAATACAACCACATAATGAATTATTTGGCTGCATTTGATAACCATTCTACTTGGAGAATTAGAACACAAAAGTGATCCCATCGGGGCAATGCATATTGGGGAGTCCGAAAAGAAGGATCAGAATATGAATCTTATGATGGCATGAGAGGTCTCCAATGCTTCATTTTGTATTGAATCTTGATAGTAGAAAATGTTGATCAATACCCAGTGATATTAATCAGTGTTTTATTCCAAGGCTCAGGCAAGGAACTCAGCCCCTTGCCAAGCTGAGTAACTGGAGCAAGTCCAAACTGACTCGCTCAGGTCTAAAGATTTCAAACTCGAAGCTCCAAATGAACAAAAAACAAGAAAGCTAAAGCAAATGAAACAAATCTTTAATTTTGATGATTTCACAGCACATTACATACACAATGCATCCTACACAAGAGAAAAGTAAGAGAGAACATACATAAATTCTCCTTTTCCTCATCATTATAAAAAATTTGTTGTTGTAAATATAACCAGGTAAGTTGGTCTCAAGGAGGTGCCAAGTTGCCATCTCTATGGCCTGAAAAAATCAAATAAGATAACTAAACCATTCCTAGATGCACCTTCATTAGAAAGTGGATCAAGGCTAATGCTTTCATGTTGGATAATCTGAAGCGAAAGGAAAAAGGAATATTCAAATCATAAATTCAATAAATTTCCAAAGATAGATTTCATAGGTAAATTTAGTCCAAGCATTCAAAATTAACATTATACCTAACTAAACCAATTCTCCTTCCTTTGCAAGATACTTTTGCATATCATCAGCTCCTGCCCTGGCAAAATTTGTCACGAGCAGTGGTACCAATTGACCAACCGAGTCCCTAAATTGCTTACTACTGCTCTTACCATCACCACCAGCATTCTGAACCCCATTTCCAGCAAGACAACCAACTTGTGTGCCATTCATGTATGCCTTGCATGCACCTAAAATAGAATCCGCACGTTCACGAAAATGCCCCTGCACAAAGGCCTCAAAATGCTGTGGCAGCCAACAAGACCAAGAACAGAAAACATTGGTTAAATCAATAAAAAAAGCTGTTGATTAAATTACTATATATGACATAATAATCACAATCAAAATATTTCCAACGCAAAGACATTCAAATGGTTATTCTGAAGAACCTAGGTCTCCGGACACAATGGACAATGGCTTCTCCATATGCAACTTATTATAGCAAACTTTCTTTCCAAACATTACCAGAGCGCACAAAATTTTCATCATCGTACCTTTGGTGGCTTCTTTAGCAAATACAACATTGTCTTGCATGACAAAAGAAAGGTATTCTCATTGTAAGCTAACGCCATTTTATCCCCATCAGGGGTTCCCTTTAATTTCTCGTATCCAGGTTCATTAAAAAATGGACTTGAATTTAACACCAATGCTTGGATAGAGAGCAAGATTTGCAAGATGGTTGATCGAAAGGGGTTCCAGTTTTCAACCCCTCTGCCCCACCAAGTGTTCAATAGACTAAGACAGACAGTCCCATCGCCATACAGATTTGGGTTAGGTCGAAGCCCGAAAGAATAGTAGTACACTTTCTGCAAAAGTTGAACCAACAGTTTAACATAATTTTCTTTTTTTCTTTTACTAGCACAAAAACAGCTAGACTACCTAATTTTTCACAATGTTCTAAATAGGAAAAGCATTCCCTCAATGTACATACTTACAGGTGGTGAATTAGGAAAGTTTGAAGGAAACCGGATGTCAAAGAAGAATAGGCCATCATGATATGGGGTCCCAGGTGGTCCAATAATGACAGCCCTCATAAGATCCATCCTTTCTTCATAGACTCTAACATAGATTGAATCTGCCAAGATGAAAAATATAGAATTGTGATCAAATTTCAAATATGCAAAGAAGCCAGGTGAAATAGAATTCCAGGTCGTGTATGCACACATGTAAACAAGTAGAGATGTACACATGTGAATATGCATTGGCACATGCATGTCTCAGAATGGTACAACAAACTGAAAATACACTAGGTCCACAAAAGGTCCTACTTTACATAGATTTAGTGGTCTCCAATTTCATATTTTTTTAAATATAATGAAAAAATAAAACCATAGATGTGATGAACAGTATTTTCCATTAGATATAAAAGTGACATTACAGAAATCTCATCCGAGAAAGCCTAGAGAAAATAATGAGTTCTCCATAAGTCCTATATGGGAACTCTCATCGGAGAAGAAAATAATGGCCGCTGCTAACCCACCAAAAAAGCAGTAATTTCTATGACTCAATCTCATCTAGGACCCTGGACCTGCCACTGTATGAAATGAAACTGTAGTGGGCAACATCACTTGCACTTTAGATATAATATAAAGAAAAACAATCTCATAAACAAAGAAAATCGCACTTGGAATTCTAATAATGCACACATTTAATGACATAAGCTTTCATTCTTGTCCAGGCAAGTCCTTGTTATATGGGTCATTTGCAAGGTTTAATGTATTATACCAAGGTCTAATATTGAACCTTCTAGGATGTGTATGTGGACTTAGCAGTTAAATTCCTTTGTACAACACAAACCACCTTCTTAATGTAAGGTTTCAGCCATTTTTTTGGGTGAATAAGGTTTCAGGCATTGAAATAGTCAATAAACATGTCGCTCTGCATCCTTTCTTTCTGTCTTTGGCAGGTAAAACGTACATTTCTTCCATCGTAACTATACAAACCAAGTTTGTAGCTTCCCACATCCACATAAAGTTAAGAGCTAAACTCCTTTTCTAACCTCAATTTTTCCATTTTAAAGCTAGGATTCCTATACAAGGCCACATGACTGCAGCCGTTATGCTCATACCACTAAGCAAAGAAGCAAACATACCATCAAGCTTCCATATAATTTTTGTCAGTCTTCCTCTTTTATTGAATGGCAGTGCACACAAAGATACACATGTTTGTGAATGATTAGATCCGCAACAATGCATATACACCACATGCAAGTACCCATATATATTAATATGCAACAAGCATAAATAAGTGCATGCTGTTGATACACATTTCCTACATCACATATAAAAAAATTCAAAATCAAAAGATAAGATTTTAAGCATCATAGCATGTTAGATGCACATACATAAAAATAACTTGCATGCATAATCGCAGACATACAGTGCATCAAGGAATTGATCAACAAAATCAGTTTTTCTTAATAAATATATACACAATTTTTTTTTCCTAAAAGAAAAGGTAAAAGAAGACAATGGCCTCAAGTAAAAACCACTAACCAGGTAAATCTTTCTCTAGGATGCACCAGTCCTTCTGGATTTTCTTTGCCCAAGTTTTGTTTTGCTGAGACATAACAGGAGGAGGAACATACTGAATTATTATCAATCCACAGAAGAAACTATCAAGACAGTCCTTGGAACACCTGCATACATGATTAGGTGGTCTAAAAACTTGAAATATCAAGGCAGTACTCTTAATCCTCCCTCCCTATTTGGCCCTTATCACAGGGTTTTAAAATACCAGACGCGTAAGGGTAGAGAGATAAAATCTATCAATTGTCAAAACTAATGGACTGTTTTATATTCATGCAACATATTTTAACTTGAACACCTTAAAGTAAGATAGCATTTTAAAAAGTTGACAAAACCAAGTACTGTCCTGATATTTCAAGTTCCTGAGCCACCTATGGCTTGTGCTAAAGGCAGGGTCCTGATATTTCCCCAAAAGAAAACACATAGAATATCATATTTACCTTAGATGGCCAGCCAGACGTCAATTTACTAAAGAAGCCCCGGTTTGGATCATGATAATAGTGGTCTGATGTATCTTTAACACTGTCGAATTTCTTGAACTTCTCTAAAGATTGCTCATTTTCTTCCCCTTTTTCTGAAGAGGAAGCAGTGAAATTCTCCAAAGATTGCCCATTTTCTTCCTTTTCTTCAGAAGAGGAAGGAGTCTCAATCTCTGAGACGCTCGAAAACTGGCTGTTAGATAGATAATGTAGTATAATTTAGATACATTATTCGGAATCAGATAGGAAGCTGAATGAAAGAGAGATGATACTTCGAAATATTACTCAAATTAAGAGAGAAATCTACTAAGGGTACCAAATGACTGTAAGAATAAGGGAAACTTAGATGAGAGAGAGAGAGAGAGAGAGAGTCACCTAGACATTGCCGTAGCACCTCCCCAAACTTCTTTCACTACAATGAAAAGAAAAACAAAATTAAAATAATATCTGCAATCTATAAGCAATAAAAAGAAAGAAAAACATCTTGTGAATGCAAAATTAAGCGTTAATTCAGTTAGTTACAAGTTTAATAATTAGGAAAAAACAAAAACTACATGTCTATAGCTTGAACTTGTCTTTTTTAGTGGTTGAATATAATTCTAAATTTTTGTTTTCTCGATAAGAGAGAAAGACAGTGAAAGAAGGAAAGAAAACCCACGTCATGGTCCAATGTAGTGAAAGAAGGAAACAAACAAAATCTCTATATCAAAATACTCCAGCATAATAACCATTATGCCCCAGTTTCAACAATATTAAATAGGAAAGAAAACCCACTTCATGGTCTAAATCAATAAACAATTCAATCCAGTTCTTAGATAGGCCGAGAAAATCCAAGAAAACCCACAGAAAAAGAAAACATGCCTAAATGTAAGAGATAATTTAATCTCCAAAAGTAAATAACAAAGCAAGTTAATGTAATGCAGTAAAAAACTAAGGGAATGCAGTAAAAATAATAACCATTCCCGATAAAAAAAAAGGAAAAAAAAAAAGCCCAAAAATCAGACTAATTTAATCTCAAAAGTGAATAAGAGAGCAACCCAATTCACACACACTGCAGTACAAAGTACCTAACAAGTAACTAACAGGGAATGCAGTAAAATATAATACAAAATCAAAATAAAGAAAGGATAAAAAAACCCAAAATCTAAAATACAGTTAAGAAGAAACAATGAGACTAATTACCCAATTTGACAGAGAGCTCCAAACCAGAAGGAAAAAGAAGGGGAGTTGCAGCCACGAACAATGGAAAGAAGAGTAAAATATTACAGAAAGATGAGGAGGAAATAAATAAGGAAGTACATATGAAATAGAGATAAAACCGGTAAGGATCATGATAATTATCTCCGATGTATTCAGTCTATCGTTTTTTAGATATGAAATAGAGATAAAACCGGTAGGGATCATAATAATTATCTCCGATGTATTCAATCCAATGGTTTAAAAAACGGATCGGTGACTCGGATCGGGCTTCCAAAAAACTGATCCGGATCGACGAATCGGCGATTCGGATCGAAAATCGGGTGAATCGGTCAGAATAAAGCTTAAAAAAAATTCGAAAAAATTATTAAAATTCATTATAAATATTGTTTTTTAGGAATTCAATAAAAATAAGGGTACTCCATTAAGAATTTTCATGTTTTTGAATGAATATGCGAATATTGATATGTTCTTTCCCTGCATGAACCGCCATTCAGCATTTAATTTACAGTATTTCGTGCTCATCCCTACACTGTTGCTGTTGGGACTCGATATGTGAATAATATGA